TGCGCAGATCGAAACGTTTTGTAGAGAACATTTCTGTTCTGGAAAAGTGTATTTCTTGGTACGGTGACAACGCCGTCACCAATTCGATACCCTGTTTTGAGGAGAAAGAGATAGCTCTGTTATCAATAGCAAAAGGTGCAAAAGGTAAAAGCAAAAGGTGTAATCCAGAAAGCACGAAATTAATAACATACTCTTAGCTACTATTATAAAATATGAATCAAAATAACATGAAAGAACGCATGATTGTGCCTAAACATTTACAAGCACGTTTTTCTCTGAAATCAAATCGAACAGTCAATTTATCTTATAACAACGGTAGTAAATTGTTAAATTGTGTATTGCAAAACGCAGTTAATCAGAAATTGCAAGGACTGAGTTGAGCATTTGATATTTAAACAAAAGTGTAGCATTAACACAAGAATAAAAATTGTATAAGCCACTGAAGGTTTTGGTGAATTAAAACCGATTGGTATTTATAAAAAATTTCAATGTGATTTTCAAATATAGTCACACACACCAAATTCATACGGTGGGAAAAATCAATAATAGAAAAGTTTCATTGATATATTGAACTGAAATGACGTCAGTAGTTATTTAGTATTAATATGAATTCTGGTAAAAAGCCATCGACAATAGCAAAAAATATAAAAACAACAACAAAACCAAGATCAAAATGCACACAAAAGATATAACATTTTGTTGCTGGTTAAAAATTGTAAAATGTTCCGATTGATATCCCTGCATAATAAACAGATCAGAAAGTAATGATTTGATAATTGACATTGTGATAGAATCTACGAAACAAATCAGAAGAATACTTCATTAGTGAGCAAACTGCTGGTTTTAACATGTATATAAGCGTGAATGATGACAACACAGTGACCAGACAAAAACTGTAGCACAAACCGTTCAGTTCATGTATTCAATTCCTCAGCTATTCCTAGTAGATCCTTGTGCATCATCCTGGATCATCTTGGCTTATTGCACTTTTTAAAAATACCCGCTTCTGGTTGCGGTTTTGGTAGTATTCTAAATTTAAAACTTGATCTTATTGCTAAGTGTTTCTTTTTCATCATTCGATTCATATCCTTCCCCATCAGTGTCACTTTCCCCACCAAATGTTTCTCTTAATTCACGATGAAGTTCTTTACGTGTTGCTAACGTTTTGACAGATGAATGGGTTTTCCAGAGTTCAATATATGGGAAACGGTTACTTGATCGTTGTTCGAGTATAGCCTTATGATATAAGTCGTTAATACGAATGATTTTTTCACGTAAGTTGTCCATATTCTTACCGATCTCTTTACCGGTGAAAACTCCGTATGGAGCGTTTTCGGAAAATACTTCCTCAATTTTTAAATATCCGTTTTTCATAAGTTGTAATGCTCGTGCTTGAACTGTAGCCAACGGTAACTCATGATCTTTATCTTTGGTAACATCCACCGTACAATTTCTTTAACGAAACAATGATAAAATATTCTATTTAAACAATCGACGTTATCGTTAGTTACTGCATTATTTATAGCTCGTAAGTTCTGTAAGGTAGCAGGTTTTCCATCGTGTGAGAATGCTAACATCAATTCCACAAGTTGTTTCTCATGTTCTGCTTTAGATCCAGTAATTTTGTTCAATACAGCAATAATTTGGGCATAACTACCTATACTTTCCATATGATAATCACCTAAGTGATTACAATGTGGATTAGTCCTTTGTTTATATTTAATATCTGAACTACCAATTGTTAAAGTTTCAGTAAAAGAGTAATCCTGTGTATAGGCTGAGTAAACGCCTGGTGATGTTTTGCGTTGAGCTGGGTTAGACAACCATCCGGTTTTGGTGTCGTATGGCTGCGAAGGACGACCAAATATTTCAACTGAAGTTTCCATAGTAGAGCGTTCAGCTGTAATCAAACGACGTGTAGGAGGAATCTGCTCAACGCCGAGTTTCAAAGGTTCCAGAACATTTTCGCTCAGGCGTCTACTTTCTAGGGCCTCTGATAACTCAAATGTTTTTTCGTTACGGGTTCTGTGAGAATCAAAGAAACGATACTCTGTTTGAGTTTGTCGACGAATGATTTTCTCGGTAATATTACCGTAAGTCTGGTAAGCTTCTAAAATCATTTCTTTCTTTTTTTCGAATTCTTCATAGTTTCTTTTGAATTGTTTTAGTTTTGTCCGAAGGGCTTCAGTTACTGACTGTGACAATTTACTTTCACGAGCCATTTTTACATGGTTTCTAGCGACTTCTAGTGCAGCATTTGCGGCTTGCTCTTCACGCTCAACAATCTTAACGGCAGCATCTAATTCACCACATGCATTGATATCAAAACCGTCTAATTCCTCGGATATCTGGAACCAGCCTGGTGGTAAATCCACTGCGGGGGACGAATTCATTTGTTGAACTTTTTTACATACTCCATTTTCGTCTGTATTATCAACCTTTTTATTAATTTCTGTATATAATTGTGTTAATTGCCCCTTTAAGCACTTTTTTTCAATCTTTCTTGCATTTTCACTTTGTTCAGGAGCTAATTCAAGTTCTTCAACACATAATCTTAAACATTTAATCGCTTCCTGGAATCTCTTTTCCTCACATAAGCTTTTCGCAATTGAAAATCCCAGCTCTATAGCAGCGTCATTATCCGAAGAAGATTTAAGTTTCCTTATTGCCTCTTCGAAATGCTGAATTGCTTCAGAATATTCACGTTTTGCAACAAAAATTTTGCCCATTAATATCTGTAAATCATATGTGTTATATCCTTTGTTAATTGCTAATTTACAATTTGTCGCCGCCTTGTCGAAACTCTTTTTTGCGAAGTAATAATCTGCGCAATCATAAAAGGCAACAGCAGAACCTAATTCTGTTGCCAAGAATTGAAACAACTTAAAAGATTCTTCAATATCTTCAGGGATTTCAGATCCATTCCAAAAACAGTACCCTATTTGTTGTAAAATGTCAGATGAAATTTTTATAGTTTTATTCTTGCGATTAATTATCAAATCATCCACTGTAATTTCTTTGCGATTTAGCCACTTTAAAACAGTTTTTTGTAATTTTTTTTCATCTTCTGTTGTATTTATTATTTCAATCTGCTCATCTTTCATAATTACTCCAATTAACATACAATGTCTAAATGTGCTGGCGCCTTGATGGAAATATTGTATCGATATAATCTAAAGAAAATGAAAACACCATTTGATAAGTTATTATTGCAAATCCTACCTAAACTATATATTTTCTCCTTCTTCTCTAAACCTCATTTAGTTGTAGAAAATCTTTCAGATTCGCTGCTTCCATAAATTTTAATTCTAAATATAAGATTTATTTGATATAATACCCCATCAGTATTCACTGCTAAACATTTAAAGGATCGACCAAATGTTATTTTCTTTCAAATAAGTAATATTATATGAGCCCGTAAAAAACAAATGATTTTTTTCTTTGTTTAAGAAGAAAAATCCAGAGCTTAATCCTGGGAGATATTTTATACTTAACATGTCTGTTCAGAAACAAATATTATTAGTCAAACAGCATTTCTCATATGTAAATTTACAAAGTTAAAGTTACAAAGAAAAGCAAAAGAAGGACGAAAACATATTTTGACTGAGAGAAAACGAAAAAAAGTTTGAATAAAGTATCTGCTGCAGCTTCTATTTCTGTTGTGTGAAGAAAAAATGAAAATAAGAATTCAGTCCCTGCATTTGTTTTTTGGTGATAAATATGCGTCATTTATTATGATTAATAACAGCAAAGAATCATCATGATGCGTGTATAACATTTTAAAAACACGTCAACGTCTGTAGAGTGTGGAACGCATTCAAACGATATATTGTGTAATTCGCCCACGAACTTGTGTTTTTCTTTCCGTCTCCATTAACTGCTTTTAACTGTTAAGAGTGACGAAGGTTTACCTCTTGAATAAACAATACTATAAAAAAGATAACAAATTTCCAACCTCGTAAATAACCTGGCTAAACAAAATTGGCGGTAACAAATTGAACAGCAACAAGAATTGATCTACCTCTACTTGGTGTTACATAAACACCTGCTGTTTCACAGTAGAAGAAATTTTTTTGTTAGATCTTTATTAGTACAAAATTGTGGCGCTTCATTAGATGGTGTTACACCTGGTGTTGTATGGGAAAGATTAAATTGTTGTCTGGTCAGTACAACAATGGGCGTACTGTCCTGACCGGCATGAGTATTGCAGATACCATAAACTGGATCAGTTGCCTTTGTTACAACTACAATTCTATCCATGTCAATCTGAAATGCAGCAACAGTAACATAACAAATCACGAAGTTGCACAACAATTTTGTTTAGTCAGGTTATTTACGAGGTTGGAAATTTGTTATCTTTTTTATAGTATTGTTTATTCAAGAGGTAAACCTTCGTCACTCTTTAACTGCTGCCCAGCCGTGTGGAACACCGTCGGTGTTGCATTATGCGGGCGCACAGCAGTTACGGGCAGTATTTTGAAATTAAGCGTGGTATCGGCTATCGTGAGTTCAAACAACAAGTAAGGTGCCGGCAATGCGAAATTCAAGTAAAAATTCTTTTTGCCGTTTTTTTTACATCATTTGATAGAGTGAGAGTTGCTGATCACGAAAAACAACTTTTTACCTTACACAAATATCTTTTTCAGGTCGGAAAATACGAAAAAATCGAAGTATGTCGTATTTTTCAAAAAACACATT